GTCTGCTCCCCTGGTTCAGACTCAAACCGCATTACTCTGCACTGAATTTGCTTGGTGTCCAGCCTGCAGATGGCAGGTTGTGACTCAAATCTTGAGCCAATTCCTATATTCTATTGGTTCTGTTTCTCTGGAGAACTGTGACAAATACAATGTATTGAGTATCCACGAAGGCCCCAGCACTGTATTTTGTGTAAGGGGTATACAGATGAATAAAGAGATGGGAAAATGTAGCGATTAAAACCAGAGACGTTGACATAGGACAGACCTGAGTTCAAAGTGATAGGGGAACTCAAAGAGTTAAAGATTTTAACCTTAGTTGATAGGCTCAAGTGACTAATGCATATGGAAAGCTGTTATTCCAGAAACTAGAATGCTTGATCCCGAGACTCCTGGAGGTCGCTGAGCAGTTCAACCTTTGTACCCCAGGGGGTCTGCTAGCATTGGAGATGTTATCTGAGCCATTGTGTTCCAGAGAAGGAATGCCCCTGAGGCAGATAAAGAATTGTTGATCAACAGATAAAGAAGTACTAGGAAAATCACCACCGGACTGCAACTCTTATCCAATTAACCTTTTTTTCTAAACCCCTTACCTACCTTTCTGAATAAAGTACCTATAAAGAGCCAATATGTGTCTCTACTTATTGGTTCTGGTAGTGATAGGCAGCACAAACAACAACACTTCCAGCTTCAAAACCCCACTTTTGCCATTTGTCCCCTGTGTGACCTTGCATGACTATACTTCTCCATGGTCTCTATTTCTCTCTTCTCCAAAATGGCGATAACAGTGGGGTCATTGTGCAAATTCAGTGAGTGCTGAATCTGCAGGGCATTTGACGACAGTGGTCAAGCAGCACACATGCAGTAAAAAGTAACTTACTACACCAAAATGAGATTGAGACCCCTGACTTTATTCATCCTTGGGTGTGGTTGGCACTAATTGGATTTCTCCTCCCCTGGGTGGGGAGGAGAAGTATAAACCATTTACTCCTAAGTGTGCTTGGTTCGGGAAGATAGGATTTTACTAGCAGATGACAGTAAACTGCTTCACCATTTAACCCTCTGTCTCAGTTTCTGTATTCTTCTTGTCCTGGCTTACTAGCCTGTCTCAGAAATATGGATCTGGAAGGAAAGGATGATTTTGCCCAGCAAAATCTTGCAGACAGCAACCTGGGCTCTGAGATCTAAGGTATCAACACCTTCATATTTGTCAGTCCATTTAGAGTGGGGTGGGGGCGGGCTTGAGTGTACGGAACACATATTTCCAGGTGCTTCCAGCACTCCTGCCTCTAGCAAAGTCTCAGCAGCTGGCAAAAGTGACAGCACACTGGGAGTAAGTAGGCACCCAAATCAAATGGTGAGGGGTCAGAGAAGAAATGTGCAGAACTGTCTGTGTCTCCCAAGGTAAAAAGGGGTGGACTGCCAGGAAATGAATCACAGTCCCAGGCACAGCTGCACCTAGAATGCAGTAGCCATTGCAGGAGTGAAGGCCAGTGGGTGCATATTCATCACTGAAGAGAAATCTAACTGGTAGGTGAGAGGAAGACCATGCTGGGCAGCTGGGAACAGCACACGTGAGAGCAGAGCTGGAGATGGCCCTCGTGCGTGCACGCACACACATTGGGGTGGGTCAGGAGAGGACTGCCCCCATCCCCCTCTGCCCTTCCAGGCAGTCCTTCTGCCTGGCAGCCTGTCCTCCTGCTGCTTCCTCCTCCTGGAAGCCTCCCCAGACTGTTCCAGCTTCCTCCCCTTGACTCTCATCTAAACTCACATGTCAACTGCCAAGACTATCATTTTGGTGTTTCCTCATGTAATTATTTAACTATATACATCCCTACTGTGTGTGATATTATTATTTAAATTTGCATGTAAATCCTGTCTAACTCAGTTTAATTTTAAGCTTCCTGAGAGAACTGTATAGTTTTATTCTTTATACTCTCCCGGGGCTCCTGGCATTGATGGACATATTAATGGTATAAGATAATAACTGAATGAATGAATGATGAACCCAGACCACTTCGGGGCCTATTAAATTCTTATGTGTTCCAAGATTTTTTCTAAACTCTAAACTTATGGGTTTTCTTTTGCTTTCAAAGTGGTCACTTATAGGTTTTGATGGGAATTACCATATAAACAAACTGGGTCTTAAAGAATAAATTTTAAGGTCTCAAACCCTCAATTACTTTTTTTTTTTAGTATAGGAAAATAGGTTTATTCTTCTTTCTGTATTTGTTGCTCCTCAAATTTTGATAAGCTATATTTTCTTTTTTAAAAAATATATTTTATTAATTATGCTATTACAGTTATCCTATTATTTCTCCCCTTTATTCCCTTCTGTACTGTACCCTCCCTCCCACCATCATTCCCCCACCTTAGTTCATGTCCATGGGTCATACATATAAGTTCTTTGGCTTCTACATTTCCTATACTATTCTTAACCTCCCCCTGTCTATTTTCTACCTACCATTGTTGCTTCTTATTCCTTGTACCTTTTCCCCCATCATCCTCCCACACACTCTCTGCTGATAACCCTCCATGTGATCTCCATTTCTGTGTAGCTCTATTCTTGTTCTAGTTGTTTGCTTAGTTTCCTTTTTGTTTTTGTTTTTTTTTTTAGGTTCATTTGTTGATAGTTGTGAGTTTGTTATCATTTTACTGTTCATATTTTTATCTTCTTTTTCTCAGATAAGTCCCTTTAACATTTTATGTAATAAGGGCTTGGTGATGATGAACTCCTTTAACTTCACCTTATCCTGAAAGCACTTTATCTGCCATTCCATTCTACATGATAGCTTTGATGGATAGAGTAATCTTGGATGTAGGTCTTTGCCTTTCATGACTTCAAATACTTCTTTCCTGCCCCTTCTTGCCTGCAAGGTTTCTTTTGAGAAATCAGCTGACAGTCTTATGGGAACTCCTTTGTGGGTAACTGTCTCCTTTTCTCTTGCTGCTTTTAAAATTCTCTCTTTATCTTTACTCTTGGGTAACTTAATTATGATGTGCCTTGGTGTGTGCTTCCTTGGGTCCAACCTCTTTGGGACTCTCTGAGCTTCCTGAAAGTCTATTTCCTTTGCCAGATTAGGCAAGTTCTCCTTCATTATGTTTTCAAATAAGTTTTCCATTTCTTGCTCTTTCTCTTCTCCTTCTGACACCCCTATGACTCAGATGTTGGAACATTTAAAGTTGTCCCAGAGGTTCCTAAGCCTCTCTTCATTTTTCTGAATTCTTGTGTCTTTGTTCTGCTCTGGCTGAATGTTTCAACCAGAACAGCTTTCTTCCTTCTGCTCCAAACCATTGATTTGAGTCCTGGTTTCCTTCCTTTCACTGTTGGTTCTCTATACATTTTCCTTTATTTCACTTTTCATAGCCTTCACTTTTTCCTCTAATTTGTGACCATACTCAACCATTTCTGTGAGCATCCTGCTTACCAGTGTTTTGAATTCTGCATCTGATAGGTTGGCCATCTCTTGATTGCTTAGTTCTATTTCAGGAGTTTTGATCTGTTCTTTCATTTGGGCCATGTTTCTTTGTCTCCGTGCACCTATTATGTTGTAAGGCATGGATCCTGAGGCATTCACCAGGGCAGGGCAATTCACATCACTGCAATGTGGTGCTGTATGTGGGAGAGTGGTCTGAGAATGAACAATGCCACTTGCTCAGCTCTCTGCTGGCCTTCAGTCACTTCCTCCGCTACCCACAAGCAAATTGGGCCCTTCTGGTGCTGATTCCTGGGTGAGTGGGTGGGTTTGTGTACATTCTAGGACCCTGTGGATCTCTCCAACGAACTCTCTTATGAGGCTGGGGAGTTTCTCCTGCCACCTCAATCCCCACAGGTTTTTTTCAGTCAGAGATTTTGAGGCTTTATTTTGCCATACTGGACCCCTGGGTTGTGCAGTCCGTGTGGCTCCCCAGTTTTTCCTCCCAGTTTATCTGCACCCAAATGTGGGACCACCCAGGAGCCCTCTCCCGGCTGTCCTACCGGTGTACAGGCGCATCCTACCAGTCTGAATGAATGTTTCTTTAACTCCTTGTTCGTCAGACTTCCATACAGTTCGATTTTCTGGCAGTTCTGTTTACTTTTTGTTCTTAAATTTGTTGTTGTCCTTCTTTTGGTTGTGCAAGGAGGCAAAGTGTATCCACCTATGCCTCCATCTTGGCCAGAAATCAAAACCTCAACTTCTCTTAGCCCCTCTTCAATCCCCTACCCTGGTCAGTCACTTGGTTGACAGGCCATTTGGATCTCTGGGCTCCTGCCCTTTGAAGTTTTCTGCTCAAATACTCCCTTTAAGAATTTCAAAAACCTATATGCCCCTCACATTCTTATGTCAATAGCTACATAATATTCATCATCATAAGTTTAAATATTGCAAAAGGTATATGCTACAGAGAATTGTAATTACTTGCATACTAAACACATCATTCTTTTCTTTTTCTTTTTTTAAGATTTTATTTTTAGAGAGAGGGGAAGGGGAGGGGGAAAGACAGGGAGAGAAACAACATCCATTGGTTGCAGCTTGCAAGTCCTGGGAATCGTTTCAAACCTGGGCACCACAGGAATCAAACCATCAAACCAGTGACCTTTCAGCTTGTGAGAGGACGCCCAACCCGGGGAACACCACCAGTCAGGGCAAATACATTGCTCTTCTCAATGTAGCAGATGGAACATAACACCACAGTACTTTTATGTTCTTAACACCTTTTTAACTAGTGAACAACCCTTGAACCAGCAAACTTAGCTCATTTCTTTTTTTTTTTTCAGTTGTTTTCCATTCCACTTCTCCTAGTTTTATCCTAATGAAATTTTTTCATTGTATCTTTTTTTGTATTTTACTGTATCTTTGGAAAGTCCTTATTGTATATCTCTGTAACAAAAATATGTGTGTAAATTGAAATTTATCTCCTGTGACTGTAAGACTCTAAGTGTTAAAAACAGTTATTCTGCAGTGGATTTATAATTATAACAAGACAATTGACCAAAACTACACATATTGACTGTGGTTAAATAGAACAAACTTTTATTTAAAATGCATCTCTCATTGAGTTGGCAAAAGCTGATTTCTATTCCCGTCAATTTCAGTTTGGTGGCTCCGGGAAGAGCTCTCTGGTCAGGTTCTGGGTGGGTGAGAGAGCTCAGACTTTCTCTGTCTTGTAGAAGGGCGATTTGTGACTGGAGGTAGGTATGAAGGAGAACAAGTTCTCCAACAGATTTATTTTAGAAAACAGGAACATATATTTATGATAATTGATCCCCTTAAAACTTGGTCCTGTGCACATGCCCCTGGGAATGTTTCCATGTCTCACCAGGGGTACGCAAAAAGGATGAGGTATTGAATAGAGACTTCACTTGACTTCTCATTCTTCAAAATTAGGGTCCAGAAATCTGTAAATGTGGGTCTGAACGCCCTTGAAACGCTGAGTTTCATTTCTAACCCCCCTGCGACTGAGCTCCACGTCCTGATGCATACTGGTAAACCAGGAACTCAGATTACATCCACATCTCTGTAGGTGTGTGACTATGAGGAGGGACCTAATCACCGGCAAGAAGCAGCCTAGAAAACGGGTTTTTTTTGTTCATTTCATGGAAGCACCGTCTCCCGAAGGTTCCCAGCAGTAGACCACCAGGTGGCAGCAGAGAACACAGAGGGGTGAGGTGGGGGTGGGGGAGTGGGGGGGAGTGCAGCAGGTCCCAGGAGCCCCAGGGTGGAAGAGGAGGTGGAGATGACATGACTGGACCAAGGTTAGAATGTATGTTTGTGCTGTCAGAGAAAAAACAAAGGGAAATGTGGGGACCAAGTATGGATCTCAGAAGGGGATAGAAAATATTGAGAGTGCACCTTTGGTGTTCAGAATACAATTGAGGGAATGAAGACAGGGAGAATTCAGGGGAATCAGAGGGTAGAGACAGGCTTGGGTGGCTTCTCGGGGCATCTGGTTATCTGTACTCTTCCCGGGGTGGATCAAGGTCTGGCTCCTCCTGAGGCCTATGGTCCATTTCAGGGGCAGGTGGCCAGGGGTTTTCTGGAGGCTGGGATCCTGCTGGCCAGGGATCATCAGGCAGAGGAGTGTGAGGCGGATCAGTTCTAGGAGGCTCAGGTGGCCAGACTCCAGATTCAGGCAGGTCTCTCCAGGGACGACTGGGGCCTGGAGGCGGAGGGTCCTCAAAGATAGGGGGTACCCCTGGCCAGGGGTCACCGGGGATTGGGGCACCCTGAGGCAATGTTGGGGAACCCTCCTCCTGTCCAACCTCTGTGGGTGTGGGAGAGAGGTGGTCTCCACTGCTTGATATGCCTATAGTGGAGGAAGAAGAAAGGCAAGAGTAGTGAGGGCCAGATCCAACCCCCAGCCAGCTGCAGACCCAGGGGGCACAGCCTGTCTGGGATGGACCACATCCTGAGCTGAGCTCACAAACAGACCTCAGAAGTAACTCTCAAGGAACTCTCCACACATTTACTTTTCTTAAAATAACATAAAAACTCTATCCTGAGCCTTTAACTTGACCTTTAAACTGAGAGGACCCCCAAATAAGCTCTACCCAACTATGGTCGGGTCATCCCACTGGCACGGCCCCTATGCTGGTCTGCAGCCCCCAGTCTATATCTTGGCCCTATGTGGCACCTTATGACCTCCCTCCTTCTTCACACAGACCTCAGCTCCACACATCTGAATTCTGACCTAAATGGCCACATGGAGCTTCCTCCCATCCAGTAAGACATGTACTATGAGCTGCATGCACTTCCCACATCCCTTTAGCTCTTCCCCTCATGAGAATTTCCAGGGTCTTCTCCATCTCTATGCATCCATTTCATCCTCCTCCTTAGTGATCACCCTCTTCTCACCTTGACCACCCCCCATCACCTTAAATTACACCCTGGCCTCGATTCCCAGCCCACCTCCAGTGTACAGGCAAAGGACCAGGATCCCCAGTAGCTTCCAGCTGAGCATCTTGGCTGTCTCCTGGCCCCCAAAGTCAGGGGTGGGTTGAGACTGGCTGCCTGGGAATCCCAACAGGCTTTATAGGGGAGGCAAGAGGGGAGGAAGCCAATTTCTGGGGAGGGGCCAGCCCAGTGACACAGAGAATCCTATCAGAACCTAACTGGTCAAACACGTTTGGAAGGCCATAGCTGATGTGTAACCTCTGAGGTTGGCGTCCCTTATTTTAGTCACCAGCTCAGGGCCCAGCCAACCCAGCTCTGAATGACCTAGACCTTGGTTGCCCCACCTGTTTTCATATCCTGCTCATACACATCCTGCAGCAATCAGTGCCTGCCTGTCATCTACGTAGTCACAGGGACTTCCACCTTTCATTCCTCGAAGCCAGTGGAAACCAAGAAATGGGAGCAACCAGGCATGGGGAAGCACTGTAATTACAGGGCTGGGGCAGGACACCAGGGAGTGGGGTAGGTCCCTTTCAACACCTGGGATGAAACCAAGAGAGTCTCAGCTAGTACAGAGTCTCCCCCACCCCTATACCCCACTTTGAGCCCTCCCCCGGGGCTAGTTCTTTCCTGGAAATTCTACCCTCCCCACCAGCCCCCAGGATGCACTCGTGCCTCTCTGCAGTGGCGGACCTCTGAAGTTCATCCAGGAACCACCTGGGCTCGCTGCAGGTGAGGAAAGAAACACGAGGACATCCTCATTCCTTCTCCCTACCTCAGAGCTGTCCCTTCAGTCATGGGCCCAGAGGCTCAGGAAAAGGCTGTTTCTACTGCCATCATCCCAGCATCTTCCTCCTCCATCTGAACCCCCCACCCCGTACCCTCCTCCTGCTTCTCCAGCCCCTTCCCCCACCCTTGGCTCCAACTCTGCGCATCTCCTCCCAGCCTTCATCCTTTTTAGGTCTCAGTCAAGGAATCTAAGTCTCTCAGAAATCCTGCTAGAATTTTCCCTCAGGAAGGACTCCGCTGCCTTCAGGTCTGATGAGCCTCTCAGAAGTAATGTGTCCAAAACAGAACTCACTTCCTCCCGCAAGTCGTTCCCCATCTGGTCTCTCCACAGCAGTAAGGGACACCACTGTCCCTCTGTGGCTCCCCTCCAAAATGCCAACCCACCCCACCCCCATGCTGGAGCATCTCTCCTGGCCTCCCCCATACCCATATTGCTTTCATGTCACCCACACCCACAATGTCCCCCCCACAGCCAGCCAATAGGGCTCTTAAAAAGGTAAACCAAATTGTGAGGCTGCTTCCCTGTCTAAAAAGTCCTGAGGGCCTTAGTCAGGTAGCTCAGCTGGTTAGAGCATCATCCCAATACACTAAGGTTGTGTGTTTGGTTCCCAGTGAGGGCACAAACAGATGAGAGTGTAAATAAGAGGAACAACAAATTGTCATTCTTCTCTCTCCATTCTCTCTCAAAATCAGTATTTTTTTTTTTTAACTACTGTGGGCTTTCTCCTGACTCAGACTAAGTGCTCCTGGCCTGCCTTGCAGTGGCCTCCTCCCATGGCCCCCTCCCGTGGCCCCGCCCATCCCCTGCAGGAACTGCTCCCAGAGGCGGCAAAACCTGCTGCTCCTCTCCACTCAGGTCTCAGCACAATGTCCCCTCCCTCCTCAGAGACCCTGCCAGTCCCCTCACCTAATGCCACCCCGGCCCACAGCCAGCTTCTGTCACATCACTGGTCTTTATTTTCTCCTCATAGCACTTGTGTGAAATGCTCTACTGTTCATTTAGGCACTTGTCCATCAACTGCCACTCCCACAGTGTCAGCACCTGGAGCAGTAAGCTGCCTGTCAAGACCCCACTGGGGACCTGAGCTAAGACACTGCCTGGCTCAAGATTGCTATTGGATATTTAATCTTCCTCACTCTGGCACTGATATCTTCCAGAGGTAAAGAGTTTTAAAACTAGAAAATAAAGAAAACCTGGAGCTTCTCAGAAAACCTCCCAAGCAACCTAGGAAAGGGGTTTTGAAAAAGGTACCACCAGAGAAAGAGCTGTGTATGGGAGCGCCTCTCACGTTCCCAGAGAGACAGCTGCATGGAAAGTCCCTTGTGTTCCCAGAGACAACATGGCCAGGCAATGGCTCCTACTGCAGTCATCTTTATTGAGGCACAGACTTCACAGACACCTTGGTGGCTAGCGTCCCCAAGGGCAGACCCCACAAACCTCACCCCACTTCTCCATGATCCTACTGGTCCCCCAGGCCCCCCTGAGCTCCCAGGTGTCCCAGCGCCCAACTGGTCAATGATGGACGGGAGCAGAAGAGTTTTGGTTGTCTCCTTGAGAAAGAGCCTCCTCTTTGGAAATGGCCTCACTCAGGCCCTGCAGGTCATCGAGCAGGACACAGAGGGATCCTGAGAAAGAAGACCCCAAGGATTAGGAGCTGGACAAGAGAAGGCCATCATGGTTACGTGCAGAAGAACAGGGCTGCCACAGGATGGGAAGTTACGAGGGCGGAGGTTCTCTGGTTCAAGGCAGGCATGGATAAAGGAGGCTGAGGGCCTCCAAGGGTCACAGAGAACAAGGCTCATGCACTCACGTCTGGGGCAGAGGTTCCGGAAGTGCCCCCCATCTCTCCCTTCCTACTTAGACCATTACCCTTTATGGTCTTCCTGGGGGAGAGTGCAGCTGCTGGAGATCCAGGTACTGAAGACACTGCCCGGCTTGGGCTGGACTGCGCAGACTTCCCCTTATCCAGGGAAGGATGAGCTGCCAACAGCCGCTGCTGCTTATAACGGGAGAGGAGACCCTCCTGCTGCAAGGTGGCCTGGGAAGGAGAGGGTTAAATGCCACCTAGCAAGGGCAGAACCTCCCCATACTCTTTTCACACCTCTACTCCCCAACCACCCCCCCTCCCCCCCTCCACCTCCCCTACCAGCAGGAGGTTCTTGTCCCTCTCCAGCTCCTGCAGGCGCTGGGTCAGCCGCAGCCCCTCCTCCTTCCGGGCCTCTTCCTGCAGGCGCCTAAACTCCTGGTCCCGCTCCTTTTCCCTGGTGGCTTTGCGCTGGATTTGGCGCAGGGAAACCACTATGGGGAACCAGGTCACAGAGGGGACAGGTGTTGGGCAGCCCAGAGGCAGCAAGGCACCAAGGAAACGACACTGGAATGATGGGCAGGACCACTGGGTCCCAGCTCTGTGACTCAGTGTCTTTTGCACAGTGGGAGAGGCAGCCGCCACTCTAAGACCCTATGAGTCTATGAACCCACAGCTCCCTCCCACCCCAACCTTCCCAGAGTCCCATAGGGGAAACTCGGATAGGGACTGGATATTAGATCTTGTGCAATTCATGTTCATTTTCTTAAAGGGTGACAATGGTACTGAGATTGTATAGGAAATTGTCCTCTTTGCAGGAGAAGGTCAACAGTCATGATGTTTGTAATTTACTTTAAGTAATTCCCCGGAAATGTATACATCAATATGTGTGTACAGAGAAAGAGCAAGTGTGGCAAAAGGCGAGTGACCAGCATGGGTGTTCATCACACGATTCTTTTCATTTGCTGCATATTGGAAATTTTTCCTAATAAAGAGTTGAGAGGTGCCCTGGCTGGTGTAGTTCAGTGGACTGAGCGCTGGCCTGTTGCTGGTTCAGTTCCCTGTCAGGGCACATGCCTGGGGTCCCTGACTGGGGGTGTGTGAGAGGCAACAAGTGTGTCTCTTCCTCTCTTTCTCCCTTCCTTCCCCTCTCTCGAAAAATAAATAAAATCCTTTTAAAAAAGGGAAAAGAGAGAAAGAGTTGGAGGTAACCAATGGTGGGAGATGTCAGATGGCAGTGCCTTTGTGGGGGGGAGTGACCAGCAGGTGCTCCGGGATGGTCACTCAGTCTGGGTGCTGGCTACCTGGGTGTTCGTCAGCTAAGAATCCAGCTGTGCCATTCCCTGATAACATCATCACCTGCATACTTCACAGAAAGCTTTACAGAAAGTTTCTGAAATAACCTATGTCTCCACACTTCCCGGTCCACCCTGGCAAACCTCACCGGCCTTGGCATGCTCCCTCCGAGCGTCATTCAGTCTTCTTTCTGTTTCTGAGAGCTGTTCCCGCAGCCGGGATTCCACTTCAGCCACCTTCTCTTGCAGAGCTGGAGTGAAAGAACACGTAGGGTGTGTCAGGGAACCATGGCTTATGGTTCCCCCGCAACGCACATCTCCTCCTCCTGCACACCTTGCCCATAGGTTTCCTGCTGCTGGGTCAGCTCCTGCCGCAGACTGGCAGCCTCCTCCATGCTCTCTTGCTGGCCCTGGCGAGCTGCTTCCAGCTGCAGCCCCACAGTGGCCAAGGACTCCTGGGTCTGCCGAAGCTCCTGCTCCAGCTGCTGGGCCACCGAACTCAGTTGCTGCCGCTCCGCCTCCCCTGGAAAGGGGTGGGCTTACTCAGGCCTCTCCATGCCCTAGACCCCAGCTCTTCCCTCCTCCTCTCCACCCCCAGTGCACCCGACTCAGGCCCCTGCTGAAGCTCAGGGACCCCTGGACCAGGTGTACCTTGCTCCCGGGCTCGGCCCACCTCCTGCTGGATGATGTGGGCACTGAGCTGCAGTTCTGCATCCAGACGATCCCGTTCTTCCCGCAGCTGCTCCAACTCAAGGCTCACATCCTCGGTTGGTGGGGGCAGCAGGCAGCTGAGACAGAATGGGGGAAATCATCCAGCTGCCTGATGCTTACACCGCCATTCCTCCTCAGTCCTATTGTTTTGGGTCCCAGCAACCAACCATCCTGAAAGTCCCACCACCACCCTCCAATCCATCTCAAGTGACCCAAACTTCACCTCTCCTGGCGCAGATGAGCAAGCGCCAGTTTTCGAGCCATCAGACCTGGGGGTGAAAAGGCAGACAGCATCAGAGATGAGTGTGTGGAAGAAAGGGGAGACGGGGAATAAAGGAAAAAGAGAGGCTCGGACTGATGAAAAGGCAGGAGGAAAAGATATAGGCAACAGAGGGCTGGTAGGGCAAGGCATGGCTGGTCTGGCAGTCGCCTACCCACCCCGAATGGTGTGGACCTTGCGGACAGCATAGCTGACTCGGCTGCTGAGGCTGGGCAGCCGGGCTGCGGCCTGCTCCACCTTGGCCATGGTGTTCTGGAGCCAGGTCTGAAAGCTGAACAAGGTACAAGGCCGCTGACCCTTCAACCCCACGTCATTCACCAAAGAACTTGACCTGCCTCTATCCTTTCCTGTGATGACGGTGGGGACAGCATGGAAGGGAAATTGAAGTCAGGAAAAAAAAAAAGAGCTGCAGCCAAGTTGTGTCCAGCTCCTCAGCCAATAAACAGGAGAACCTGAGGCTTAAGCCCTTTAGTGCTTGTCAGATAAAAATGATCCAATTGTACCCTGGCTGGTTTAGCTCAGTGGATACAGTGCAGGCTGCAAACCAAAGGACTGCTGGTTTGATTCCTTTCAATCAGGGCACATGCCTGGCTTGTGGGCCAGGTCCCCAGTAGGGGATGTGCAAGAGGCAACCACACATTGATATTTATCTCTCTCTCTCCTTCCCTTCTCCCATCTCTAAAAATAAATAAATAAAACCTTTTTAAAAAATTATCCAGTTGCTCATAACAAAGCACAGCTATTCTTGGTCCCCAAGCCTACAGTAAACTTTTTCTCTGGGTCCCAGCAGTAAAAACAGCCATAAGGTTCATGGGGCACACCTTATCTGGGCCCAGCTGCCACCACAGTCAAGGTGAAATAAACTCGGTTCTATGGAGCTAAGACGAGTGCCCATAGGCTGGCTAATCTCTGGCTGATTTAGACCTTTCCACCTGCAGGCTCCTGGATGCCTCTCCAGGTCTGGGGATACTCCTGGCGTATGTGCCACTCGGGTGTGTGAACTTATGTGCATTTTTCTAAGGAAAAAAGTCCATGGCTTCCATCAGTTTTCTAAGGGATCCCCTGCCCAAAGACAGCAAACATTCAGTGACTGCGTGTCTACACATAAGAGATCAGCGAAGGCCAGGCACATCACTCTCTCAGCTGGCTGTGCCCCAGGTGAGACCAACACCACCCCCTGGTGCAGGAGGCATAGCATCCAGGCACAGGACTGGAACTCCCCAGGGGAGCCAAGTCTTTGCCAACAGAAAAATGAGCAGAAAACAAAGGCTGAAGGTTGTATCCCAACAGCAGAGCAGAGACCTCTTTTACCTGAAAACTGTTCGGGTGATTCCAAAACCTTCCATGGCTCTCATTAAAACCATTTTCTGATAATGTCTCCAAGCCATCTAAAGACTACCTGTCTAACAAACCTGGCAACAGGCCAAGCTTGGGGTCTTTTTCACCTCGCGGATTTGTTGGCAATTAGTTATTAGCAAGATCCTTTTCAGTGGTGTCCTGGTTCCAAAACAAAACCCTGTCCACACGTGTTTTTCTGTTCTCCCACAGGTGGCAGCACATGTGATGGACTGAACCCAGGTGGTGCTTCCTTGTAACTAGCCTCTCTAATTCCATGCATGTTTGAAAACTTTTCTCATTTTTTCAAGTTCAATTAGTCCCCAAGGTACAATTCAACAGAACGGGGTAGTGGACAAGGCCCATGCTGCATCACAGTTTTGTTATGGGATCCACCAAGAAGAGCCGAGGTAACAGCAAACATTTACAGAGGACATGTGACAAGCCAGCAGACTGGCTCCACTGAGCTCCACGCAGACCAGGTACCTCAATGTCCAAGGCAAGGAGGGCTGGCACCCAGTACCAAGAAGCTTGTGCTTCTTACAGGTCTTTCTGAAGCTTATATAAGGAGTAGGGAAGAAAACACTGAGGAACTTGGTATGAGACATAGGTTTGCAATCAATTAAGAAGGGAACCATCATACATTTTAGATGGACTATCTGTAAGCCAATAGTGTACAGATTTAAAATAAATAGACAAGCTTTTCCAGCTAATCAGAGCATGCCTATAAAATTCTAAAGAAAAAGAAAAGACCAAGTACCCACACTCCCCATCCTGGAAAATTGTGATGGTGGATGCTCCCAGTGTTCTGTTTAGCTCAAGCTGTCACTGGACCAAATGCAGGGGATGCACTGCCTCACCTCCAGCCAAACATGCAGTGGCAGTCACCAGAGACCCTGGTGTCAACGTGGAAAGGGTTACCCCAGAAAAAACAAACACAGGAACTTTTACAGGGCTAAATACCTCCAGCTCTGCATCCTCTAGCTGGAAAGTGGACAGCTTTCCAGCCACTCTTGCCTGAAGCTCTTAAACTCCAACGTCCCTGGGAGGCAAGAGAAACAAAAATCCTACCTCACCCACCCCCATCCCAGACACCTGCTGACAGTGTTGGCCACAAGCTTCAGCTGCTCCTCAGCCACAGCCACCTGCTGCTGCCCCCGGCGCCAGGACTCCTGGGCACGGCTCAGCTCCATCTGCAGGGTCTAGGAGGGAGGGGATAAAGAAAAGGAGCCCTGGGGCCCTGACCCATGGACCTGGGGTCTCCCAGGCCTCTCTTAGCTCCTGCCTGCTGCATAAACAGACCAGACACTGACCTTGGCGCCCATCCGCTCCACCTCCACCTGTGCAGCTTTGTCCTCCAGGGACCGCTGCAGGATGGCCTGCTCCTGACTCTGGGCTGAAGTTCTTTCCTGGAGCTCTGCCACCTGGGGGAGGGGAGGAGACAGGCAGGGCACTGGGAATGAAGGGGCAGGGGCAGAGGTCTCTGAAAAAACACCACGTAGGGAAACAAGAAACATGGGCTCCTCAGCATGGAGAATGAGTCTAGGTTTCCTTCCAAAAGCACGTCCCACACGCTCATACCTCGAGGACTTGCCCACACCACCTCCTCAGAGAAGTAGTTCCTCACCATCCTAAGGCTGCCCTCCAGTCTCTGCCATGTGGTCAGTCACCCTTTTCTTCACAGCACACATAATTACTTGACATTACCTAATTGTCTGCTTGCCTACAGCGCCTTCTCCAGAACCTAAGCTCTATCTTTGTTCAGGGCTGTTTCCAGCACGTGGCAGCCACTCCATATACTGGTTGAATAAATGTTACCCTGTATGAGAGGAGCAAGTCGGGAGGAAGAACATGGAAAGGAAGATGCCAAGTGACCTGTCCCTTCAGATGCTGCACGCACGCTCCGTGCTCCAGCTCCTGGGCCTTCAGCTGCACCATGAGGGCAAACACCTTCTCCCGCCAGCCCTTCAGCAGGGACTGGACCTTCCTGGGCAACTCGGGCTCCAAGGAATCTGAAGGCTGAACCTGAGGGACAGAGGAAATGGAGACACTGTGGGCTCCTGGTGGAGCAGAGGAAGGTGATTGCATTTTGGTTTCTCTGTGCTGCCCAAGTAACAGAAGCTACCAGAAGAGGTGTGTGTGCAGGAAAGGAAGCTCTCAGCAGGGTCACGCCCACCCCTCCCACCCACAGAGAAGCACCTAGTGAGGGGCCTACCTTCCTGGCCAGCTCCTCCTCCTGCATGGACAAGATGTGGGTGAGGCTTTGCACACGCACCTGCAGCAGCTCCACAGTCGAGTGTAGGCTGTCCCGGTCCTCCTGCAAGTGCTGCCAGTGGGACAGGACGGAGATTGGCCTCTCTGTACCCCTTCTCTCCTGGGGTACCCCCTCCAGGCCCTGAGGCTTCCCATTCCACCCCTGCACCATCCTGGCCCCTCCACAGATTCACCCTGCACTCTCACCTGCACAGTCTCTAAGAGGTCTTGTCGCTCTGACTCCCACATCTGGCTGTGGACCTCAGGGGGGACTTGTTCCCCTACGTATCTCCTTAGGTTCTCAACCAAGGTCACCTGAACCTCCAAGTCTTCTTGGGTCTTGCTAGGATTAGGGTAGGAATAAGGAAGTCATCAGTGGGGTACCTTGGAGACCTGACCCACCCACCAACTGCTGCACCCACCTTGGGCCAACCCACTTACCTCAGCTGCTTCCGTAGCATCTCAGCCTCCTTCTGGGCCATAGCTAATTCCTTGGCTTCCTCTGCCCTCCTGGTTTCCAAACTGTTCAGAGACTTCTCCAAGCCCTCGGTTTTGTTGGTCAGACTGGAAAGAGCCTCCTGGCGAGCCCGTGTTAAGGAGGACAGCTGCAGAGAGAGGGGGCTCAGCAGGGCCAGCTTACCTCCACATCTGGGCTTTCCAAATCTCCCCAGACTTTGGCCTTGTCACCTCCCACTTGTGACTTTAGACAACAGCCCAACACATCGCGTAACGCTTCACAGCAAATGGACTGTCCCTGGAGCCTTACTCCCCCATCACACTCCAGCTCATCAGCAGTTCCTGTTAGGTCTTCCCCCAAGTTCTATATTCACTTCTCTATGCCTCCTGCCACCAACCTGAGGTAGACCACCCTCATCTCTGGCCTGGACCACAGCAACAATCTCCTGACCAGTCTTTTGAAACCCTCAGTGGCTCATCATGGCATTCCAAGCAAATACTAGCTTCTTCCCTCAGACTGTGAAGCCCCCCCTTCCTTGGCCTCTGCCCACTTCTCTGAGCCCATCTGCTGTTGATGTCCTAATTCTACACATCACCTCCTTGGGAAGGCCTCCCATGACCCTCCAATCCCAGCCCACCACTGCTCTGTTCTGCTGCCTATCCTTGTCCTTCCAGCACTTGTCATCTGAGATGACCTTGCTATCTGCCACAGCCCAATCGAAAGGAAGCTCTAGGAAGGCAGAAGTCACACCCTTTTCTTGTTGCACCTCTCAGTGGCATCAGGGTCACTGAGAGAGTCATGGGACAAACAGAAGAGGGAATATGCCTGCCCTTATCTCCAGTCTGTCCTTTTCCCCCTATTTCAACAGCACAGTCAGAGTGATCTTTTTGGACATAAATGACAAATCAATCATGCTATTTCCCTGTTTTAAACCTTTTACTGGTTTCTCATTGTTCTTACAATAAATGGACCCCCTTCTGAATGGACCCCCGAGGCCTTGCAGGCTGCACCACCATCCAGAGCCCCTCAGCTCCTGCACTCAAGCCCCTCTGGTCACCTCCTGTCCCATATGTGCTGCCTGGCATCACATCAGCCTCCATTGCCAACCCACATGTCTCACCAGCCAACTTCCATTCAGCACCAACGTAGACTTTTTAAAGTATATTTTATTCATTATGCCACTACAGTGTCCCATTTTTTTCCTCTCCTTTATCCCCCTCCGTCCCGCACTTTTCCTCCCTCCAGCATCCCGCCACCCCCCCACCCCCGTTAATTAGTTCATGTCCATGGGCCATATACAATAAGTTCTTTGGTTTCTTACTGTACTATTCTTAACCTCCTCCTATTTTGTACCTACCATTTATGTTTCTTATTCCCTGTACCTTTTCCCCCATTCTCCCCTCTCCTCCTCCCCACCGATAACCCTCCATGTGATCTCCATTTCTGTGATTCTATTCCTATTCTAGTTGTTTGCTTAGTGTTTTTTTGTTTGTTTGTTTTCCAGATTCACTTGTTGATAGTTGTGTTTGTTGTCATTTTGCTGTTCATACTTTTTATCTTGTTTTGCTTAGATAAGTCCCTTTAACATTTCATACAATAAGGGCTTGGTGATGATGAACTCCTTCAACTTCACCTTATCCTGAAAGCACTTTATCTCCCATTCCATTCTACATGATAGCTTTGATGGATAGAGTAATCTTGGATGTAGGTCCTTGCCTTTCTTGCCACTTTGAATACTTTCCAGCTCCTTCTTGCCTGCAAGGTTTCTTTTGAGAAATCAGCTGACAGTCTTATGGGAACTCCTTTGTGGGTAACTGTCTCCTTTTCTCTTGCTGCTTTTAAAATTCTCTCTTTATCTTTACTCTTGGGTAACTTAATTATGATGTGCCTTGGTGTGTGCTTCCTTGGGTCCAACCTCTTTGGGACTCTCTGAGCTTCCTGAAAGTCTATTTCCTTTGCCAGATTAGGCAAGTTCTCCTTCATTATGTTTTCAAATAAGTTTTCCATTTCTTGCTCTTTCTCTTCTCCTTCTGACACCCCTATGACTCAGCATTCTGATGCTGATTCCTGTGTGGATGGGTTCCTGTGTTGGAACATTTAAAGTTGTCCCAGAGGTTCCTAAGCCTCTCTTCATTTTTCTGAATTCTTGTGTCTTCATTCTGCTCTGGTTGAATGTTTCAACCAGAACAGCTTTCTTCCTTCTGCTCCAAACCATTGATTTGAGTCCTGGTTTCCTTCCCTTCACTGTTGGTTCTCTATACATTTTCCTTTATTTCACTTTTCATAGCCTTCACTTTTTCCTCTAATTTGTGACCATACTCAACCATTTCTGTGAGCATCCTGCTTACCAGTGTTTTGAACTCTGCATCTGATAGGTTGGCTATCTCTTGATTGCTTAGTTCTATTTTGGGAGCTTTGACCTGTTCATTTGGGCCATATTTCTTTGTTTTGGTGCTCCTGTTATGTAGTAAGGGGCAGAGTCTTAGGTATTCACCAGGGCAGGGCAACCCGCTTCACTGCTTGGTGTTGCTGTCTGTGGAGGAGGAGTCAGAGAAGGAACAATGCCCCTTGCTTGACTCTCACCTCACTTTCTGTCATTTCCCCTGATACCCACAAGCAAATTGGGCCATTCTGATGCTGATTCTTGTGTGGATGGGTTTGTGTGTATTCTAGAGCCCCATGGGTCCCTCCAAGACTCTCCTGTGAGACAGGGAGTTTCTCCTGATGCTACAACCCCCACAGATTTTTATAGCCAGTGACTTTGAGGATTTATTTTCCCACGTTGGAACCCTGGGTTGCATGGTCCATCTTACTCCCCAGTTGTTCCTCCCAATATCCGCATGTGAATGTGGGACCCCCCAGTCTGCCAGCTGCCACCTTGCTGCATGTCCTCTCCATACCAGCTGCCCGTCTCCACCCCTTCAACCAGTCTGGATGAATGTTTCTTTTCTTTAACTTCTTGGTTGCCGGACTTCCACACAGTTCAATTTTCTGGCAGTTCTGGTTGTTTTTCTTTTTTAAATTGGTTGTCCTTCTTTTGGCTGTGCAAGAAGCAAAGCCTTTCTACCTATGCTTCGATCTGGGCTATATTCAGCTTCTTTCATGAATCTAAAGGCCATTTATATTTTTCTTTGAACTATCTCCTTTGTTCATTTCCTGACTAGATTGCTGACTTCCCCTTACCAATTTCTCAGCACACATTATATAGTTGGGATATTAGCCTTTTCCTGTGATATGAGCTATATTCTTCCCTAGTTTGTCATTTATCCTTTTATTTTTATTTTATCATTCCTAAGTTTAGTATCGTGAAGTCAATGTACCAATCTTTTCTTTAGTGGCTCTGGACTTTGATTCATATGCAAAGACCTTCCCCATTCAAAGTTACAAGGAATTCACCCAGGTTTTCTTCTATTATCTTTACAGTTTCATTTCTCAACATGTTGATAGTGACCTTCCTAACTCCCCTACCAACTCAAGACTCCTCTGTCCTTCTTCTGAGCACTTCTCCTAATTGCAGGTAATTACTTAGGATTAAATCCATGTTCAATGTGTGTTCCCCACTAGGCTGTTAGCTACACTCAGAAGGGCAGGGACTCACTGATGCACTCAGCAGAAGTCTGGCTCCTATCTTAGGGATGGAAGAATAAGCTCTCCAGACCACCTTAGGACCACTTTTTTTTCCCAAGAGCTCCAAGATGAATTGGGTACCCAGAGTGAAGTAGGAAAACAGAGTACTTTCTACTAGTAGCAAGGGGAAGGAGGGCTTCAGGTAGTGAGTCCTGAGAGCAAGAGCAATCTGAGGCCCTGGCTGGTGTGGCTCAGTAGACTGAGTGCTGGCCTGCAAACCAAAGGGTCACCAGTTTGATTCCCAGTCAGGGCACACACTTGGGTTGCAAGCCAAGTTCCCAGCAGGGGGCATGCAAGAGTCAATCACATATTGATGTTTCTCTCCCTTTCTTTCTCCTTCCCTTCCCTTTTCTCTAAAAATAAATAACTAAATCTTTAAAACAACAAACAAAAAAAAGAGCAATCTGAGTAGGACCAAAATACTAAGGTCTCCCTCCATTCAGGTCATGGTTTTTTCGCCTTCACCTAACACTTTCTCTTCACTCCACTGCTCACGGGGGACTTTTCTTCAATATGTGCCCTCTGCAGGAAAGCCACCGCCCAGTTCCCCACTGTGAAGCCGAGCCCTTTCCACTGCCATATTCACCTGCTCCTTGTGCAGCCTCTGAACTTCCTCCAGCTGCCGCTGGCTCTCCTCTTCCAAGTTCTTCCGGACAACCTCAGCCCCAGTCAAGGCAGCACGCAGGCCCTCGGCCTCAGCTCGGCCAGCCTTCTCTGCCCGTGCCAGAGCCTCCAGCTCCACAGCCTGGGCCTCCAGCCTCATCTTCTGCTGCAATGAGGTCTCCCGCAGGACCCGGACCTCCTCCTCAAACCGCCGCAGCTCCTGCAGCTGCCGAGAGATCAGCTCAGCCTGCTGGCTCAAGGCCTGTGACCCCTGTAGCTCCACGGACCTTGAAAGACAGGTTAGCACAGATAAGACCTGTCTCTGGTACTGGTAAGGTGGCCATGGGCATGACAGAGACAGAGATAAAGTTGAGCCATGGGGATCTCTGCATTTCTATCACCACTGTCATTCCTCAAGGCCTCACTAAGCATATTAGGCCTGGTGTCTGGGCTCACATGACCTAAAGGCTAGCTGAAATCATGAAACATGGCTCTCTAGAGAGAGCTACACATAGACTGATGTCTTAACAGCAAATGTGCACATCATTAGGCCACACATTCTGAAATGAAGAGATTAAAGTATATACAGAGACTTCTGAATCTGATTTAAGGGCAAGGAAAAGTTGAGGAGAAGTGAAGAAAGAAAGCTCATGGCTTCCACTATATAGCAAGACAAGGTACTAGTGGAAAGCATTTACTGAGTGTTAGGGATACTATATGAGAGGTCTGGGAGGACACTACTTTAGTAAATTATATAGTCCCAACCTTTAGAGAACAGTTTACTTACTAGTGTCACATAAAGTTTAAAGCAGCTTATAACATGGCTCTTGGTACAGCTCCCTCACTGAGGCCCAGAACCACTGGATTTTTAAAGGAGGGAACTTAGCCTACACAAAGTAACTGACTGGCCAAAGGACCTGTAGTTGGCAGCCAAACTAGAAACAGAGTGTCTGTCTCCTGACACCTGCTCCAGTGCTCCCCTTTTGTCATCACGCTCCTTCCTCTTTGATGGGGTCCAGGGTAGATCCATTCACAGTCCCATTCTAGAGCACAATGGCATAATGACATGCCACTATATCAGGGAAAAGACACACAGGAAACACCAAGAATAAGAAGTTTTACAGATAGCATATCAACTAATAGCACAGCCAGCACCAACAGCATGTACACAGAATGAGTCCACACTAGTACAGCACATGATTCTAGTTTGAATGTCTTCATCTTGCCTTGTTATGATCAGCCTGTCTCTTCCCTTAGGATTTTAAATTCCTTGATATCAGGATTTCTCCTATTTGTTTTTTTTTTTTAATCCCCATCCCTAGAGTCTAGCATGCTGTTATTATCATTTATGCATTGTAGGCACCAATAGTTATCATGGAAAAATGAATAAACTATGGGACTACAGTCTGAAATAGGGTAGGGAATCTATTCTAGTAAAGACGGGTCACTGGCAAGCAAGCCTGAGAAAACAGTGACAGTGGACCCTACCTGCCCCTCTGCCCTGGTTGCTGCCCATCACCAGAAACATCCTGTTCCCACATGATCACTTGAGGTCTCTGGTTGTCTGGCCGCCTCTCTGAGACTTCATGATGGGCCAGGGGTTGGACCAGAGGAATGTCTAAGACCCAGTTGGGAGCCATTCTTGGCAAGGTTGGAAGGGGCCGAGCTTGGAAGTGGGATGGGGGAATGAGCCCAGTGGAACCTGAGGAATCATAAGGAAAACACTGGTCACTTTCCCAGTGAGAGAAAATCACCAGTCCCCTTGCCATGTGCCCCACTGACCTGAAGGTCGAAACATCTCCACATTATTTGAAGTCTCTAGATTCTGTGTCCAGCCATCTATGTTCCCCTGGACAACAGGAGAAACAAGGGCACTGCAATTTAATTTTCAGGTCACCTTCCAAAGAGAAAGCCCCTAAAGTTAACAAAGTCATAATCCTCAAATAACAAGTCCACCGGATTCTAAATTCCTCTTTTCCTACGTCTGGAAAGAAATAGTAAATACCCAAAGATCACTTGCTTGACCCAACCTGGTTCCTGATAGAACCGTGGCAATAACCATGAGGTGGGAGGGAATTTACTGAGACAGGCTGAGAGGGCGCTGCTGGGCTTTACTCCAACTTTTAGTGTCTGGGCAATGCATTTACCCTCCTCCTCAAGTTTCTACAGTCTCTGCCATTCCTGGTCACAGGTAAGAAAGGAGATACGCAGTGCAGCAGCTGTGAGCTCAGTCTCCAGAGTCCCCTTCATGTCTTGGGGAAGCCCATCTACATACCACCAAGCCAGGATCCCTGGTTCATTCCCTACTAAAGCACTGGCCCAAGACCCTGCCCTAGATGGACAAGGTCCCATGTCCGGCAGGATGGCTGCCCTAGGACCCTTGGGAATCAAGGAAGCCTAGATCCCTGGGCAGAAAAGCCAGCTTCCTGCCATCTCTTTCAAACCCCTCCAGCAACTTCCTCTCAGTTTCTGTCTACTATATGTTCAGCTTCCATTCCTGTCGCCCATATCCCTCTCTCCAGAGGGCTCTTCAAGGTCTCCCACTCTTCCACCTAAATTCACCTATCTCCCCCAATCTGGGATCCCTCTCCCGCTACAACCTAATCTGCTTTTTTTCTCCGAAGGCATTACTCTGCTCTCTCGCTCGCACCCTCATCTCGGCTCAACAACATACTCTAGCCTCCCCGCACTCAAGCGATTCTCAACCCTCCACTCCCAGGACACCCGAGTCTTCACCCTGTGGGACCCTGAGCTCTAAAGCTGTTCAGACCACCTCCTCAGTTCCTTCGCCTGGCCCCATCCCCTCTTCCACTATGAACCCCGGAACCCACTCCCCAACCCTTTCTAAGCCCCTTCCCGCCCCAACCGGCGCCTCCCAAAAGTCCCCTCACCGAGCACGAGAGCCCCCTTGGCCCTTAGGTCACACCCCCTTACACTTCGCCCCAGGCGGGTCTCCGCCTCTAACTGCGCCTCCGCAGAGCGGCCCCGGTGGCGGGTGGCTCTAGAGCCAGGTTTCACCCCGGAAAAGGGAGGGGAAGAGGTGCACGCAGGCGCAGTACTGTCTAAAGCCGGACCCAATTACCGCATTGAGTACCTCCGCGCCCTGGCGGTTCCTCCCAACTCCGGGAACCCGGGAAAACTTGTTAACTAATCAGAAAAGGTGGAAACCGGGACAAGGAGGGCCCTGGCCAATAAAACGGAGGAGGCTCAGGAGCTGACCAATCTGAGACGGCATAGGGGGCGGGCTCGTCGGGGCGAGGGTAGGACCCGGGAATTACGAAGGCGGGGTCGGGATTGCCCGCGCGCGCTGGCCGTGCCCCTTCCTGGTCTGAATTACTGGCTGTCAAACAACCGCGGAGCGCCGGCCCGGGCCGGAGCCCGAGGGTCCCGGACGCCGCACAGGCCAGCGCTGTTTGAAGAGACCACTCCGAGACTGCACCGCGCGGTAGATCCGACACTGGGCTGGGCGGGCAGGGAGAAGGCTAGGTTTTCCTTCCACGGTCTCAGGGAGCTCTGTTTTATCCCATTCGAAGAAGCTGGGCAGCTGGGGTCTAGGTCCAGTTTTTTTGGAGAACATAGGGACCCGTTTGCACTTCCTTTGGGGGTGGGGGAGGGTGACAGTGGAGTCACTTTCCACTGGGGTTCAAGCTAACTAGTTATGAGTGAGGGATTGGCCACAACAGCGAGGCGTGAACGTGCATGAGAGCTGGCTACTCTATTTGGATAAGAATGTCTGCCAGGAAGAAGCTTTTCTCCAAATTACATTGAGGTGACAAGTTAGTCTTTCACGGAAATAGGAGAACCCCCCTATGTACAACTAGCTTGCAGTTCCCCCAGAAGCTGCCTAATGGTATGTTGTCTTGCACAGATTGAAGTCTCCTGGAATACTTTGCGGCCTGAGGTTCCGATTCATCCAAGGTGCCATAGGACGTGATCGGTTTTGGCACTGCCTCGGGACTTTCCCCAAACTTTTCAGCTTTGAAGCGTCTTGACAGCCAATTTTGCATCGCGTGCCTAGGATCCTTGAACTCTGAATTTGCACTGCTCTGGGACTGTGCTTCAAAATTGAAATTGCACAAAGCATAGCTCAAGTTTGCATCAGACAGAAAGTGAACCTAGGCCACCGTGCATGGCTCAGGAGTTTGGAAAGGTGATGAATCCCTGAAGTGGAAGAGGTGGTGTGGAGTGGGCACTGCCCATGCTGCCCTGCTTCCAGCTGCTGCGAATAGGGGGCGACGGGGGCGGTGACCTCTACACTTTCCACCCTCCAAGCGGGACTGGCTGCACCTATCGCTTGGGCCACCGGGCGGACCTGTGTGATGTGGCCTTGCGGCCCCAACAGGAGCCTGGCCTCATCTCTGGAGTCCATGCGGAGCTGCACGCTGAGCGCCAGGGTGAGGACTGGAGAGTCAGCCTGGAGGATCACAGCAGCCAAGGTAAGCAGCGAGCAGCAGTTCAGGGCCTGCCTCCCAAGCTCCCTATCAGGTTTGATGCACAGGGTAGTCTGGACCTCTGTCTTTCCACCACATGGTGTCAGAAGCTCTCTGCAGTTTTGACTTGCTGGTCCCCGTTTAGTCCATACAGGGGCTGGGAGGCGGTTCCATAGCCTGGGGCAGCATCAGGGAAATATCAGTGGGGATGTGCTGTGGCCACTGGGGAACCCAAGCTTAGACCTGACTGTTTTCAGACTTGCTGAGGCACCTTGTTCCTGTTAGGATATGTTGAATTATGTTTCAGTGATATGGATATGTGATCTCCCTGATGCAGAGGTCATTGCCAGCCTTAGTCCTGTCACTTCACTTCTCTGGGTCTTAGTCTCCTTTTAGGTAATATGGAAGACTTTATAAGGTCTGTTTGGGAAGTGTGTGAAGATAACTAGTTACCAGTATTCACGTAGTGTGTACTGTTGAACCAGGCAGTTTTAACTGCATTGAATATCCCCACTTTACAGACAAAAAAAAATGAGACACAAAGAGGTTAATTTGTTTAGGGTCACAGAGCTGGTAAGTGGTAGAGTCAACAGTGGAACCCAGAGTCTGAACTGTGCTGAGTTGGAGCTGGATTAGTGAGCATTACTGAAAACTGGACCTCAGAATATTGGAGAATGGATCTATTCCCTCCATATGTCCTGTGGGAAGGCATAAATGTCACATCACATCTGATATTACCTGCTGAGGGACTTAGAATATGAATATTTGATGACAGGTGTCATGTTCTTATGTTCCCCAGAAAATCAGTCAGGGTCAGATTTCTCCACTAACTGGTCATTTGCTTTTGTCATTTCTATATCTGTCTGGTGTCCCACTATCACCAGGGACTTTAGTCAACAATGTCCGACTCCCAAGGGGTCACAGGCTAGAATTGAGTGATGGTGACCTTCTGACCTTTGGCCCCGAAGGGCCCCCAGGAACCAGCCCCTCGGAGTTCTACTTCATGTTTCAACAAGTCCGAGTGAAACCTCAAGATTTTGCTGCCATTACCATCCCACGGTCTATGGGAGAAGGACGAACTGGAGCTGGTTTCCGGCCCATTCTGCCCCCCCAGGGGGCTCCACAGCGTCCCCTCCTCACTCTGTCTCCTGCACCAAAAGCCACACTGATCCTCAACTCTATAGGCAGCCTCAGCAAGCTCCAGCCCCAGCCTCTCACCTTCTCCAGGAGTGAACCACAGAGCCTGCCTGCTCACACTCCCCCTGGGGAAAAGGGGATCACCCCTTCTGCCCCAAACCCAAGAAATAGGAGGAAATCTGCTCACCGAGTGCTGACAGAATTGGATGATGAGAGAGAGTCTCCTGAGAGCCCCCCACCAGTCCTTAGAGAGCCCAGGAAGAAACTGTGTCGAGAAGACCCCACTGACACCCAGTGGGTAAGTGGAAATGGGTGTCTCAATATTTCACTGCTTTTTGATTCTTTTAGAGCCTCAGGCTGGGAGGTGGCCCCGTGCTGGTAATGGAGATGGACAGTGGACAGCAAGAATGACAAGACTTGCGTTAGCTCTACCAACCAGGTTAATCTATATTAGTCAGGTCAATCTATCTGGGTTTATTCTATTTGTCCAGGTAAAGCTCTAGGCGTCTTCAACAGGTTTTCAGTGACCCTGGCTTTTGTCACTCTTCAGAAATCAACCTTGGCATCCTCTGAAGCACCTACATGACTCCCCCTGCTGTTGTGGGAGGGGAGCCCCGTGCAGCCCCTTGTTGCCGCCTATCCCGAGAGACAGTGGCCTGGGTTCCGTATGACAGATGTGATATCTGGTTCCATATGGCCTGTATTGGCTGCAGCATCCAGGCTGTCAGGGAGGCTGACTTCAGGTGCCCAGGGTGTCACATGGGTGTCCACACCCAAGGCTCACCACCAAGGGGCCAGAGGACAGAGCTGGTACCTCCAGGCCATGAGGGAGACACAGTGGAATGCCAGCAGGTCCTAAGAAGTGCCTCCTTCTTCCCTTTCCTCCCCAGGAGGGAATGACTACAGGACAGGGGTCCACTGCTATGGATTCAAGGTCTGGAACAGGCCCTCATGGCAAAGGTGACAGAAGAGATGGTTTCCTGCCAAAGATAATGCTGCCTTCAGGAAGTTGCCAGTGAGTTGGAAATTCCCACTATTCCAAGTCATAGGTCCTGTCATGGACCCTAGAAAATCTGTGATCAGAGCACTCATCAGCTGCAGAAACCATCCATTCCTGGGAATATGTAAACCCCAGAGCTGAACAAGTGAGTTCTCAACTTGGATGGCACCACCTAAGGCATTCTGGGCAAAGCTAGGGCACAGCCCCCAAACTGTAATCCTACCACTTGACCATGTTTGTGGCCTGGCTTTTCAGAGGTTTGCTTTCATTTCCAAATAAAGAATGGGTCTTATGCTCCATGCTTTCCATTTCTTGAGAAAATGGACTTGGAAAGGTTTGTAAAATGTGAATTCTTAGGGAAAGGGGAGATGAACAGAAAAGGCAGAGAAATACAAACCTGCTCACTGGAAAAAAAAAAGCAAATATATGTGGTGACTTGGAGGTGGGATATGAAAGAAAAGGAATTAATGGGTAATTAATGATTCTAGTTTAAAAGAAACCATCCACTGCCCTTAAAATTAGGTGGTTGGGGTGTGGTCAGTTTCATATAGATGGAAGAACTTTTACAAGTTTCACCAGTCCAGGCCTACCTCAGAGATACTGCAGGTCCATTCAGTTCTAGACCACTGCAAAATGAGGTGTAAATTTTTACTGGTGGAGGGTTTTGACTTCAATTTGAAAAGACCCATCTGTAACCCTGGATGGTTTAGCTCAGTGGATTGAGTGTGGGCTGTGAACCAAAGGGTTGCCAGTTTGATTCCCAGTGAGGGCACATGCCTGGGTTGCAGGCCGGGTCCCCAGTAGGCGGTGTGTGAGAGGCAACCACACATTGATGTTTCTCTTCTCCTCTCTCTAAAAATAAATAAAAATAAAATCTAAGAAAAAACAAACTCCTCTGTCAAGTGCAATGAAACAAAGTAGTACACAGAAAAGAAATTGTGGTATACCAGCTAGATCAGATGCTGGCCTGGTCCAGTGTGATCAACCCATGTATGTTACATTTTCTTCTGTGAGCCTCACACCAGTCAAGACACTTGTCAAAGCAGCGTTCCCAGTTCTTACTGGAAACCCTTGTCTCAATATACTCTATTGCAACCTGTATGTCTATCCCATTTCCATTCCCACCTAGGCTTGCCCACACCGAGGAAAGAGTTCCAGAGCAAGGACCTCCCATCCCACCCCCCAGCCAGTAGCAATGGAACAGGGACTGAAGCATGAGGGGTATGCTGAGTCACTCATGGACAGGGTAGGCAAAAAACCTTGAAGGGAAACCAAACAGATCCTGGCATTGGGAAGCATAAGATGGTGCCCTGGTTGGTGTGGCTCAGTGGATTAAGCGCTGGCCTGCAAACCAAAGGGTCACCAGTTCAATTCCCAGTCTAGGGTACATGCCTGGGTTGCAGGCCAGGTGCCCAGTAGGGGGTGCGCAACAGGCAATCACACATTGATGTTTCTCTCCCTTTCTTCCTCCCCTCTAAAAATAAATAAATAAAATCTTTTTTTTTTAAAAAGGAAGTACAAGATGGAGAGTTTCTAGTTGGGGCTCTATGCAGAAGAAAAATATCTAAAGACTTGATTTCTTAGTATAACGCCACTGAAGCCTTCCAAAGTAGTGTGGGGAACGCAATAAGCCAGCTCCTACTAGGGAATGGGCTACACAGTAACCACATCTGTGGGCGAAAATAAGATGTTTCACTCAAGTTCCCTGGGATCCGGTGTCACAAGTTTTGAAGAACTAGCTCATGCCTCTAAGGGCCTCTACAAATAAACTTGGTTCCAGTCCCAGCTCTCCCTGACACTGTGTGATGTGAGCAGGTTTGGCACTTGACTTCGGGGTCATTTGAGTCTCATAGCAGTTACTATCCACTATTTGGGTGTCTGCACACCCTTTCAGTAACTAGAGGATAAACCAAAATATCCATCTACTGTGTCCCAGGCTTCTTTATTTAAGATCAAAGTGATAAATGATGTGGGGATTAAAATCAAGAGCATCTATGAACTTCACCTTCCCTCCAACCAGTTCCCTAAACTCCCTGCCCCCACACCCTTTGTGTTCCCAATTACGTAGTGAAGAAAGAACTTAATCCCAAAACCGTGGAACAATTCTCAGGGTTCTTTCCCTCGCTCTCCCTCCTGTCGTAGGAAGGCAGGCACCTCAGTTTGAATGCATGGGAGAGCCCAGAGCGGTGACAGACACGGAGGGAAAGGCTTCACCCTCAGGGAAAGGGACTGAGGAGTACAGCGTAGTGAAGTGAGGGCCCACATAGCCTGGGGTACCAAAGTGGGGCCCTGGTGCCAGAGGAAAGGATACGGGTCCCCCTGAGAAAGGAGGCCCAGAAGCCTCAAAATCCTCTCGTTGGGAATAGTCACTGCTTGATCGTTTGCCCTTCTGGCGACGGTTGCAGAACCACACTCGGACCACCTAGAAGTGGAAGACACGAGGGAGAGTGACTAAAAACTCCAGGAGGTGGGTCATTTGGCCCAAACCCAACAGATCCAGAGTGACTAGAGGGCAGAAGCCAGAGCTAGCGCAAGGGGGTGCGGCCTGGAAGGAACATGGAGCACTCTGGGACTAGAAGGGGACAGGCACTCACATCCTTCTCCAGCCCAAGTTGCTGGGCGATGTGGCTGATCTGCTGCAGGGTAGGCTTCGGGCACTGCAGGAACATGTTCTCCAGGTTGCCCCTCACTCGGTTCTCGATACTTGTTCGCTTTCTCTTCCGGGCCTGCACAAGAGTCTCTGCTTTGCATATCTGGGCAGGTGGAGAGGGGGCGACAAGAGAACAGATGGGAGAACAGGCTTCAAATCTGCTGAGCAATAGCAGCACTAAGAGCAAATTGCTAAGGAGCATTGACTGTGTCACCAGAGTCGGGTGGTATGAGAAGGAAGGGTTCTGCAAGGAAGAGCAGTTCAGACCAGCAGCTCTGCTCCTTGTCCCAGCAGCACTGAGGAATCACCCTCCACCCATGGAGGGATACTCTCACCAAGAAGCAGAGCTGCCAGCAAGGGATGGAAGCAATGGACATGGGGCCAAGTCACAGCGGTTCCCTGTGAATCCCACCCGCCCTCACCTCCTGCAGATTCTCATTGTTATCAGCTTCCTCCACCCACTTCTGCAGCAGGGGCCGCAGCTTACACATGTTCTTCAAACTGAGCTGCAAAGCCTCAAAGCGGCAGATGGTTGTTTGGCTGAACACCTTCCCTGAGGAAGTCAGTTGAAAGAGAACAAGGTGAGGTAGCAGGCAGGGCCCTCATGACCCCAAGACCTAGGTGTCACCACCTCTTCTCACCCTCATAAGGTCCCACTTCTTCCCAGAGAAAGTAAAAGGCCCAAGTATCTTTCCCCCTTCCTCTACTACCCTCTTCATGGCCGAGGGTAGAGCCTGCCCCTGGAACAATATCCCCTCACTCCCTTGGTAGAAAAAGCTCAGGTTCAAGAATATTCTTTCCAGGGCAGAAGTTGTCCCTGTGTTCTATGGGTCAAAACATGCTGAGTGGGACCCACCAAAGAGGACGCCCAGAGTGAGCCCCACATCGGCCTGGGTGTATCCCAGGGTGATCCTCTTCTGCTTCAGGAGCTTGGCAAATTGCTCAAGGTCTTTCTGCAGAGCTCTCATGTCCTAAGACCACATTGAAAAAGGCAGAGAAAGTATAAGAACACAAACACACCAACTATTGCCCCCCCCTTCCCATCTGTGTCCCAAAGAGTGGTCTTTGGGAGTATCTCTGCATCCAAGCTGCCCACCAAACTCCAGAAACAACCTATCTATGAACACCCTTCACCCTAGAAAGCAACAAATCTATAGCTGCAGAGCACCAGGCACAGCAGGGAAAACACCTGTCAGGTCACAAAGGGAGCTCCTGCCGGTCAGCCCATTTAATACAAAAGCTTTTTGACTGGAGTAACAGCCCTAGAGAAATAAAGAGTGCCATGTGTGATTCTCACTTCAATACACTCACTCTCCCAGACTACTTGCAGGGTCCTAGACCATGGCCTGGCATGTATACACACAAACACACTACAAAAGGTTACAGGTGTCATAAGATATGGACAAAGTGCTTTGTATATAGTCAGTGCTCAGTTATTTAAAAAGTCGATTGTCCCTTTTTTTCTCAACTTTTTTGAAATACAGAAGCAACCTCATTGATTAATTCAACAGATTTATTCCATACCTCTATAAGCCAGAGGCTACACAAAGTAGACAATAAGCCCTGGCCTTGGTGGGTAGAGAAAGAAAAAGGCATGGGGGGAATAAATGGTAATAAAAAATACACACTAAATTTTTTTAATCCTAAGAAAAATAAAAATAAATATACTGGCCTCGTGGAGCTTCCATTCCAATGTGGAGGAAAGTAATTACTATCTGCTGTGTCAGAAGCATCATGAAAAGTAAAATAGTAGAGGATTACAGAGTACAACAGGGTAGGACATCACAGGGAAGGTGACAATTTAAATAAGCTGGGGCAGTGAATTTGAGCAAGGAAAAAGTCAAGTGTAAGTGTCGCAGGGTGGCAGATAAGGTGGGCAGGTGCAAGGCCAGCGTGGCTGGAGCTGGGTGAGTGGGCTGAGGAAAGGAAAGCGGGAGAGCTATGAAATCAGAAGAGCAAGCAGGGCAGTCCCTGCAAATGTTGCAGTGAGTGAAATGATGTGACTCTCATATTTTAAGATATTCACTCTAGTGGACACAGTGACAAGAGACTAAGGAGGAAATGGTGGTATAATCAGGGAGAGAACTGCAGTTATCCAGATAGTAGTTCCAGCCACTCTGGAACTACAGTGGTAAGTATTGATTGCGGGGGGGGCTTCAAGGTAAAAATAGTGGTGTTTCCAAAGGTGTGGAGGTAGGGAGATCAAGGAATGAGGGTGACTGGTTTGGCCTTGAGCTAGTAGGTGGTGGATGGGTGAGGTACAGTGACTCAGAGAGCCATCCGAGCAGGAGATGGAAAATTTGGCAGTCAAGTCTATGAACGAAGTCCCTGAGCCTACAGGGTGGGTGAGAGGAAGGAGGGTAAATAGAAAACAGGCGAAGGACTGAGCCCTGGGGCACTCCAGTGGAGGCCAGGAGCCCAGGGGACCAGAGGAGTTAGGCCTTTGTGTGATCATGGAAGCCTTCAGGGAAGTATTTCAAGGTTAATCAATCACATCAAGTTCACATAGGCTAACTTTTATTCCCAGCTTCTGCTCAGCCAATGTTTCAAACCCATACACAGCCTCAGCTGTCCCCATCAGGGCTTTCCCAATCCTATTTTGGGGATTTGAAATAAGGTAAAGCCCAGTTCAAATCCTAGCTTTGTC